ATAAGTGCATAGACTTAGATATGGAGGATATGTTAAGAAATAATAGCTTTACATGTTGATATTTTGTTTTAAAAAAGGTTTCTATGACTTTGTAGCATTACCTTTTTACTTACCCTTGTATGTATGATGTTCAGAAAGTCTACATTCTTGCAGATTTTCTAATAGTGTTGGGAATTGTTGAGAGGGGAGTCTTGAGCTTCTAACTATAATTGCAGATTTGACTAACTCTCCTTTTGCCTCTATCCGTTTTTGCTTTCTGTCTTTTGAGAGTCCTGGGTGTATGTACAGTTAGGACTGTTATGTCTCTCTGGGGATTTGATTAGTTCGTCATTGTGTAATGCCCTTTATCCTTAGTAGGTTATTATTTTGAAATCAATTTTGTTGAATATTAATATAGATAGTCCTGCTTTTAAAAATAAAATATTTCCATGATATACCCATTTTCACCCTTTCATTTTTAACTGACTATAGTTGGGTCATATTTTCTTTTAAATGTGCCAACTCTCCTTTTCTTTTCAGTTGCTGTAATGAGGTCATTTATATTTAAGACAATTATTTAAGAACTTAAGCCTGATACTTTATTACATTTTTTACCTGTTTCCTCTGGGTCTTAATCTTCATTTTTAGGAATCTATCTTCATTTATTTATGATGTTTTTTATTCTATTAAAAGTCATTAATTTATAATGTATTTTATTATATTAAAAGTCTGTATGACTTTTATAGTGGTTGCATTGAATATTATAATAAACATATTCAACTTTCATCTTCATTTGCAAATGAACTAGCAAACAGATAATCATAAGAACTTCGTAATTGTTAACATTGACAGAATCGGTAGCAATATTGTCTTTTCAATTGGTAATTTGAGATTGGGCCTCTTTCCTTAAGCATGATAACAGTCTTGCTGAAGCTGTGCACTAATTTTTTGACTTTTTTTCTCTCTTGCATATTTGTTTTATATTTTAATAATTAATATTATGATTTCCTTACTTCTATTTACTTTAGGTTTCAGTTGCTGGCTTCATTTATTTATATTTTATTTATTAGCTTCTTGAAATGGAAGTTTGGCTTATTGATTTCAACATTTCTTCTTTCCTTAAATACAAATTTATGATCCACAATTTCCCTGTTTATCATTTTAACTGTATGCCATAAACTTTGATATATTTTATCTTCATTGTCATTCAGTTAAAAAAAATTTATAATTTCTGTTTTAATTTCCCTTTGTCCAATAATTATTTATGTGTATATTTGTTGTTGTTGTTAGATGCTGTGGAGTTGATTCTGACACACAGTGACCCTGTATAGGGTTTTGGAGGAGTGGCTGGTGAGCTTGAGTCTCCGACCTTGCAGTTCAAACTGACTTTATATTCTAAGGCATTAAGCTGCATCGCAACATAAAACTTCATTATTGGGCATATATATAATGGTAGACCATTGCTAGTTTTCTGATTTGAAATAAGGTGTATATTGTTCACTTTCAAATACTATGTAAGCTTTTAGATACCTTTTAGCTATTGCTTTCTAATTATATCATGGTCAAAAAAACATTCCTTGAAAGTTTTCATGTTTGACAACATTTTGTAGCTTAAAAAAAATTTTTTTTTTGAACACTCAGCATCTGCTTGGTTTTACAAATGTGCTATGTGCACTTGATGTTAAGTTCTTTTCTTTTTAGGGTCAGTGCTCAGTATATGTTAATTAGTCAATTTGTAAATTGTCTTGTTCAGATTTGCTAGATCCTTACTGACTTTTTGGTTGATTCTTCAGTTGTTATGATTGTGAATTTGACTATTACTTCCTGACTTTTGTCACCTTTTGGTGAAGATATTTTATTGGGAATTTACTTTAAACTATGTTTTTCTGATTTTTCAATTCATTAACTCCCCCTTCTATTAGTACAGGGATATATATATATATATTTCTATCTTGGTGCTTGGGCCATGGCTGTTGGCTGTTTTTAATTTTTCCCTTTAGAAATTTCCACTCACTGTGGGACATTATTTTTTTCTGGGGCTAGATTTTGTATGTTTGTGTGTTTGTGTTTAAAAGTTCTCCTATTGTTAAGCCCCCTCATCATTCTAGGTTCCCCCAGCTATGACTCTGGCCTCTTCCCAATGGTGCAATTTTTGACTCTTAGGTTATGCTATTATTTTTGTTTCCACTTTCAAGTTTGTTAGTTTTTGTGTCTCTTAGTCTCACTGAAAGCTTAAAATTTCAGGTTTTTGTGTTAATCTCCTCTTGCTTTATGCATTTCAGGAGAGCCAGGGAAATTGCCAATAGGCTAGATCTGTGTTCCTGGCCAAATACAGATTTATAAGCTGAATAACTATTCCCTTTCTTTTTTAAAATTCACAAGCATTTTGTAATGGTTTTTAGAAATAGTCTAAACAATTCTAATGTCAAACATAAGGTTATGGTCATGTGCTCTTTCCATCTGTCTAATTTATTATAATATGCTGGGCAGCATTATTGGGTTAGCATTCATCATGTGTACTAGTCTTCCGTAATTTTTCTTTCTTTTTTCTTTTTTAATTTCAGCTTGTAACTGTAATTTAAGTAAAAGTTTACAGAGCAAGTTGGCTTTCCAGTCAACAGTTCATACACACTTTGTTACATAGCACTGACTCCAATCCCGACAACATAGCAACTCCTCCCTTGGTTTACTGTTCTTGATGGAGGTATGTAGAAATCTACGCTTGTGAGTAGGGTTGCTGCCTATGTTTTGAGCCTCTCTCCCTTCTCTTTAATCACCAGATCTTCAGGGCTCTGGGCACTCTTTTTGACATCTGGCAAGCCCTAGCTGTCCTTGTAAAGCAGGGACGAAGAACCTTGGTTCTACCATATTATTCACAGGCCGTACAAAATTATCAATTTAAAAATTAGCCTGCT